GCGCACTTAAGCCGAGATATTGCAAGGCAGTGAGCCACAGCAGTACCCATGGCCAGCATTGAAAGCACCCAAGAAATCAATGTTGTGGCATCCATTATTAGTTCTCCAGACCTTGGTCGAGAATTGATAGTTTCCACCACTGACTTCCTCAAAGCTAGTCGTATGTCAGGTTTTTGTATCTGGATGCTATTTTCGGGGGCATATAAGCTTACTAGACGGAGCATTGAGTGGTTGTGCAAGCGTTGAAACCACCATAAAGGACACCGTTGTATCTCGATCCAGTAGTGTAGTCAAGCAGGTGGATTTCCTGGGTAATTGTACCACCCTCGCCTGGGTTGTAGGCATCGGCACTCAATTGACCGTTCCAGGCAGCTGCGCTGCCGGCCAGAGCAAGGGCACCGAGGAAACAGGGGACCTTCATAGTCGATGAATGGAAATATTTCAGAAGAGAAGAGGTAGTTGGGGTTGATAATGGATAGAAAGTCATTTAGACGTGGGCTTCCTGTCCTATTTATACCTTTGTCCGCAGGAGCAACACACTGGATTTCTTTCCACGAAATAGACCTCTAGTTTTACTTTGTCATGTCATCGTAATCCTACCTTCCGCAGCACGGTCAAGGAGTGAGAGAGACACCGCTACGCCCCATGACACAGACTTAATTATAGTAGTCTATAACAGGTTAGGGCGAGCATGTGTCTAATGCTGTAGCTAGGGCTGTTAGTTGAACAGCTAAGACAACCTTGGACGTTCCTATACTGATTAAATGGATTGAAGCCTACTATCCACTGTTTAGTCTAAGTGTTAATAGACTAGAGGAACCGTTCGGTCCACTTATAGATTACCAGGGTTCAGCCACATGGAACATAAGCTCAGCTGTTTGGAGGGCACACCCGGGATCGACATCCCAAACTAAATACCTTAAAGCTTAACTGAATAAGTTTCCACATGGCATCCCTATATTTTCTAGAAATGGAATATGTAGAGCAGAGTCTTGAAAAAGACCAGAAGAAAGAACGAACGTCATAAGACAGTGGGTGTCAATCCGTAGTTCGAGACATGCTGGGTCCTAAGTATCGCCCGCATACCCTAGCTCACTCTACCGGCATACATATCACCACCGGAGAATTTAATATTGCTTACTGCATCCGATCAGATAGTTACGCTGACCCGCACTATCTCTGATTGAGGACTTTCCCCGAAATCATCCAAAAAGAGAATAGTGGCTTCATACTAAAAGCTTTTTGCAATACGACACAAACAGCGCAGATAGTAGTTATTTTAGCGCTGACGGTTGCAATCTGCATTCCAATATCCACCAAGATCCACCGAAAAGACCCATATTCTACAAGCAGTTAGTGGCCACAGCCTATACTCGACAATAATTGATGAGGTGCCCATCCTAGTCCTTGCCATTTGCAAGATATCGCACACCTCGAATCAGTCGTCGGCGCAGGCGGCTGAGTTGTTGGAAGGGAGCTTCAAGTTGGCACGCTCTGCACTTGCAGGCAAACCCCATGTGTTGCAGACTTTCATGACGCTGACTCCGGGTCATGTGTGCGCCATATGGATCATACCAGAATGTGATATCCTCGCCAGCATCGATGTCATTGGTTGCAATCCTTTCTTTGGTATCTCGGTATTATTGGCGCTCTCGCGTTTGGGACACAAGAATGGTTGAAGCGGGAGTTAATCGGGTGCAGGCCAACTGCAGGAGACTCGTTGGGTCGAGATTGGAGAACACATTCTGAAAGAACATTAATCCCAAATAATTGAGAGCTGTGCTCTCTGGCTGAGGTTCAACGTGGGAAAGGCTGAAACAATGTCCTCTTTTCACATGATGACAAAAGCGATGGGCTGTCTGCAGACTCAGGAAATCTTTCTCCTCGAAAACGACGCTGGCTGATGGGAGCAGACATGGAAGAAGTGGAAGGATGTAAACAAACATATCGAGTCAAATATTCAAGTGTCTAAAGAGGAAGGAGCCAAATGGGGCAAACAGGGACAACCACAGCAAACAGGCCACTACACGCCATAGATATATATCTGTGGATAGAGGGACCCTGTTTATACGCAGAAGGCGACGGGAATTTTGCAATGAGTGTGTGAGTCCTATAAAGAACATAAGAAGCAAAGAGGCGATTGACTAGCATAATGCAATCCTGTGTTGAAGTCGTAGGACTAAGATAGTTATGTTAACATGTAAAACTGATGAAACAGTACATTCTTATGGAGCCGACACACTGATGAACATGAAGGGAGAAAAAAGCAAAGGTGGAGAGCAATACAGGATACTAGTAAACACCGGGATAGGGTCGTGAATTCATCAACTGAATGAAGTAGAAAAATTGGCAGAAAATAATAACGAGTCGAGATGACAACCCATGTACATGATAGTCGAGGAAAATGATCCCACGGAGTAAACACAGGGGGGAGATAAAAGCAGAGATTAATACAGTAGATGGCTGGCCGGAAGCCCAATGGAAAGCACATGTGACATAACTGGTCTAGATGATTTCGAATGTGAGAAGGAAAAGAAAAGATGCTGTTGGGCCAGTTCTATGAAGAGGAAGCTTTTGTTGCCTTTTTGTTTTTGCCAAAACAGATTCTCGTGAGAAATGTCAGCCAAGGTTGGATTTGTCCTGGGATCCCCTTTTTTTGGTTCTCTTCTGATGCTCCCTTATGCGTCCAATGAACTCCAGTTTCCCTTTTTTTGATCTTTTGATGTGTATCAACATCGTCCACGGATGTGGACATTTCATGGGGCGTATCTTCGTGATGATTGTCTGGACTTTGAACAAATAGGGCGGGTTAGGCGGTGGTTATCTCTTCGTTGTCGGCTCACGAGGCACCACTCCGCTTGTTGCCCTCTTCTTCCTCCATGGAGAAGACCAGATCACTCTGCTCCTCTTCTTCGATCTTGCTGTTTGTGACCGGGGAGGATATGGTTCGGTCAAGGCGAGCAGGGGGTCCTGCTGTGTGGCGAGTGGGACCAGGATGAAGGGACATGCCACCAAGCTGCTCAGAAATCATCGACATCGAGGACTGACGTCCAGGGCTTGAAACAAACGGCGAGCCATCATGGGAAGCACGGCTGCTGCCAATAGGACCAAGGCTAGGGCTGGCGATTGGGTTTAATGACGATTCACGGAGAGGTGATCCAATATGGAAAGAAGAGCCATGAGACTCCTCTTCTTTGCGCTGGCGCTGCTTGGCAAACAATGCCCCAAAACGGGACGGACTCGATGCCAAAGGAGAGCCAGTCTTGGAAAAGCTGGTGCTGGTCATGCCGAGGCCGCTGATGTCACGGTGACTAGAGCTCAAGTCGTTGTCAGTCCGAGAGAGTCGGCGCAGCTTCTCCTGTGGGGTGAGAACATCGTCGTGCAAGTTAACTGGCAAATAGTCCTCCTCCATCGGGAAGTTTTCGTCCCAGTCCTCGAGGGCGGTGGGCCGGGGAACGCTAGCGGAAAGCATGCGCGGCTTGACAGGGCGGGCAGAGTGCATGAACCGGGGGCCAATGGTGTCTTCGGGGGCTGGAGGCGACGATCCAATGTTCGAAGAAGGCTTCCTCTGGAAGCTAGAGCCGTAGATGTCACGTAGGTTGCGGAAAGCGTCCGTTTGGGCCGGTCTCTGAGCCGGAGGCGATTCCAATCCGAATTGCGATGGCATCGAAGCAGCCACCGGTCCGTAACGAGCAGCGTGTGAGATACCCTGGCTGTCGAATGAAGCCGGGAGCCCCGCATCGAGAGCGGTAAGGTGGTTGTTGTTAGGCGACATCGGAAAACGAACATCTTCGGCCGGGGACCCATACTTAGATCCGGCATCGGAGGCAAGGCCCGTGTCGATCGTCGGAATCGCATCATAGGGGGCCTGTTGCAGGGATGCGTACTCCTCCTGCGGGGGGAGCTGCGGGGCATATCGAGGCTGCTCGTGACCGTTCATGCGCTGCTGCGAGAGAACGGAGTTGGTGAGGGCTGAGTCCTGGTTAACATACGCCTGTGGGTTCACTCGACCACCCAAATTAAGGTGGCCACCCATGCCTCCAGTCGGTCGGTTGACTCGTCGTCCATCGGGGAGGATATGCGCCAGTGCGCATTTGGCGCCGAACTTGCAGTTTCCCTAAAACCAAATCACAACCCCGTTAACTTCCGATATCCCCAAAATGCGAATCGCAAGTAAGTGCTCCTATCAATTCCATACCTTTGTAAAGTATTTGCACGGGGCGTAGTCAATTCCTGCATCAGTGGAGTGTAAGAACGGACAAGCGGGGCCTGCCTGGCAGGCACCCTGACGGAAGAATTTGCATGGAACATGTTTGGTGTCTGCAAAGGCAATTGACGCAAATAATTAGCCTGTTGTTCTCCGCCCAGACAATGGGAGTATCTGAGTTTCACTGAAATTTGTTCACTTACTCTTGTTGCTCTGGTTCGGAGGACTGCGGGCAACGTCGAGTCCCGAGTGACTGCGGGTATGACCGTTCTGGGGCGCCGCCCCAGATGAAACTGGAAGAGGCGCACGACCTCTCATCTCTGCTTGACTGTGTTGACGAGATGAAGGAGGGCGAGAAGACACCTGCATGGAGAAGTGGGAGGGGTTTGGAGATTGGAGAGGGGAAAGAGATAGGCTCGGCGGGCGGTGGGCGGAGTGTCGAAAGCAAACTCCGAGTACAAAAAGAGAGGTAACTTATAGATAGAACAGTACAGAGTAAAAAGCACAAACTAGCTAAATAACTACGGAGGTAGGTATTTGAAATAACATCATTATCTTATACAATCTCACCTTTCGCTTAAGCTTTCCTCGGTTCCCGTGACAAGGCCCATCTGATTTCCCTTTGCCTCCCACCGTTGCCTCCATTCCAGATTGCTACATACTGTCGAATCAAATGTTCACACGGAAAATACACGCTCAAGCAAGTCTCCGCTCAGACTGAAAGCCGCAAATGTCAAATGATGTGACCGAGTGGGGACTGAAAGGATCACCACACGATCATCGTCATCACCTCTTATTGGAGCGTTCCTTCAAGCCCCAAAGATTCCTGGCATTTGTCAACATTCTGCTAGAACATCTGAAGCGCCAGGTCGTGTCATAGCTTACCCACAGCTCCGGGGCAGTCACGTTCTCCGGAAGAACCTCAGAGCATCGTCCCCACAGCTCGCAACAGATGCGACGGCGAATGCCGACCTGGCGCTGCCATTGTTTCCACTCGGTTTCAAGCTTTGCTCTTTCAGCCGGCGAGATTGAAACCGTATCATCCTCGTGGCGGCTTGCCAAGCGGGCCTGGATCGCCTCTTGTTCGCTTTCCAGGCGGGTGATATCCTGGCGAAGATCAGACACCCGGGGTTTGGCCCCCAGGGCTATCAGAGCGGCTCGGGCCTTCTTCTCATTGGCTTTAAATGCTTCGAGTTGGCTTTGAAGGTTTGCAATATCGCGGCTTAGCGCGGCTGCTGCTTCGGGGGTGGCTGTGTCCGAGGGATCTTGCAGTGCATGGTAGACTGTCTGTTTGCCTGTGTAGATGCCATAGAATTAGCAGGTCCTTCATATAAATAAACATGACTTACCAGAAGTTCGTCCTTCGATCTGCTTCTTTTCGTGCAAATCCCGGAGAATCTTAGCAGCATGGGCTGATATATATATTAGACAGGCCGATTAGCTTGTGATGCCAGACTAACTTTTTGTAACCCTGTTGTGAAGATTCGCAGATATATCGATGGCCTAAACTTGTCAACAATGTGTCCTCTGCCGACTCGATACTGGGGAGCAAACCGAATAAGGACGGCTGTACCAGACAGAGTTAGTTACTTTGAGGATACCCTAGATGGTTAGAGTGGTACTTTTGTTGGCCTGTACAAGAGGTAAGCCATTGAGCAAACAACTGTCTCCAAGCATACTCACGAAGGTATTCATGGACGATAGAGACATCTTCGAGTGGTCAGCCTTGACCTGAAGCAGCCAATTGGGATCTCACCATCATCTCCAGCAGTGGCACCAGACTTTACTTTACGAGGAGCCATGGCGTACGGATAGCAAGACAGAAAGATGTAAGGTTGTAAGAGACTGAGTTGAGGACGGGTACAATTATCATAGCATCTGGACCTCACGTGGAACTACAGTGAGAACATTGGGACAACAATAGTTCACAGTTACTCCTGATATCTAATTCCCAAAATTTCCAAAAGAAAAAAAAAAAAAAAAAGGCTGATAACCATATGTCCAAAAAGATACCCCAAAGTCATAAATCTTGGGTGAAAATGCAGTTTTCTCAAAAGGTGAGACCATTCGCCTCCCGGACGACGAAACTTTTGGGATCCCGGGATTATGTGTAAGGAAAGAAATGCAAAACATGAAATCGAACACCTCGTCTGCAATACAGCGGACTGAATTCATCGCAAAGAAAGACAGAAAGGGACCGGGGTATCACATCACAATCTAGGAAAGTCAGTTCTGGTTCACTTGCCAGTGGTTTTACTTTACTCACGCAATCACTGTCATTTTTGGCACTAGGGACACCCATTTCTTCAAAGGTCTTGGGTCCCTTGCCTGGCAGCTGGCCACTGGACTTGGCAGGCTTTCCTGCAGCACTTCCAGCAGCGCTACCAGAAGAAGACTTGGGAGGTGCTGAGGAGGTTGATGATGCGATAGAGGGCGGCGGTTGGGGCGTGGAGGTGCCCGATCCTCGAGATGGCTGCCGGGATTCCATGCGGGGAGGGAACGAAGGAGATCCCGGTGGGCGTGGTGAGGCCGCAGCTCTAGGTGAAGGCAGCCCAGACTGAGCAGAGTGGGCAGAGACAGGAGTTCTAATGGGCTTGCGGTCCGGAGGGACCTGGTTGAGTTGTGCCGGCGGGCGTCTGCGGTCACCTGGGGGTGGCATTGGTGCAGAGTAACCAACATCGAGACGAGGGGTTCCGCTGGGACTGATCATGTTGGCAGCTTGGGGGCTTGCTGGTCCGGCGGGTGCGCTCATGGGTGTTCCAGGGCCAGATTGGCGATAGTTCATGGGTCCGGGGGGTCCCTGTCCATAGGACGGGGTACGAGATCCCGGTCCACCAGGAGAAGGACCGCCATAGCCAGGCGGGCCATTGGTCCGGAGGTTCGGGTTGACACCAAAGGCAGAGCTTGGGCGGGGGTCTTGCAATTGGTAACCCTGGCCCGTAGGCCGGGGACGAGAGGTCTGGGGACGATCGGGGTAAGGAGCAGCAGACGGTGGGCCGTCAGACAAGGTCATTCGCGAAGGATCCGGCATTTGTATATTCTCGGGCGTCGTATCCAAAGACCCGCCTCGCTGGTGAGCGGTATATCGCGTGGACTTAATGCGTGAGATGGCAACCTTCTCGTGGTCCTTTCTAGAGAGCGTCTTAGAGCGCGAGATACTCTCAATCCGACCCGAAGCATCCTTGTTGCCGCTGGCGGCGGCCTTGGCGTACCAAGACCGGGCTTCTTTAATATCAACTGGCACAAATATACCGACCTCATAGAAGTAACCAAGGGCGAATTCGGCAGTGGGAAGGCCACTCTGGGCGGCACGTTGCGCATACGTGAATGCCAATTCATCGTTCTTCTCAAAGACACCCTCATGCCCACAGAGGAACCATTTACTGATCGCCATCTCAGCTTCGGGCTCGCCCTGACGAGCTGCCAGTGCGTTATAATGCAACGACAGCGCCGGGTTGAAGTCGCAACTTAACTGACACAACTCATATGCAGCACCCATTTTGACTTGGGCTTTAGCGAACCCGTGATATGCAGCTTTTTCGATATTGACACGTGCCAAATTGAGATCGAGAGGAAGGAAACTTTCTGGGACGCTCACTTGAGGAAGCTCGCGAGCCAAAAGCATACCGTATACCTATGTCCGATATCAGCGTAATCCAGGCTGAAGTGATCTATAAAACTCACGTATGCACCCTGAGGTGCGTTCTGATCGCAGGACTGAGCTGCCAACCGAATGTACTCCAACCCAGTGTTGAAATCCTGGATCTGGCCATGTTGTCCCAGGAGAATCATCATTCCGAGGCGCTGCAGAATGTAAGCCTCGGCTCAAAACACTGTTTCCGAAATACTCACATAGTACGAGGCAGAATCCGCCTGCGCAACACCCCGCTGATAGTGCCTAATCGCCTTCTCCGGCTCCCCCGAGCTCTCGAACTGCATTCCGATCCGGTATTCGGCACGCGCATACCCCTTCTCAGCGGCGCGCGAATAGCATCGGAATGCCTCCTTGCGATCCTGAGGATAACCAAATTTAGCGAACTCAAGCCACATGCCCTTGATGAATTCCGCCTTGGGATGCCGCTGTTCGGCTAAGAAGCCGACAATGTTCATTGCGTCGACCCGCAACTGCCGTTCAATTTGTGGGGTCTGCGGGCGCGGCGGCTGGGTTAAACAGAGGCGGGCTTCATTCTGTGCGGCCACCTCGACGAACGCCAGCGCGTCCAGAGCCCACGCCAGTTGCATCTCCGGGTCTGTGGTCGAAAGCACCGCCATCCGCGCGCGTTCTAAACTGGCTTCTCGCTGTTCATCGGTGGGAGGGACATTTGGTGGTGGATTTCGCAGCACGGGGAACGGCGAGAAGTTGGGGTGATCCATGCTGTCATAGGTCGCGGATTGCGCGTAGGAACTGGGGTCGTGGACCTGATTGTGTTGTGGTGGCCCTTGGGCCGCGGACGAGGTTCGCTCGGGGAAGTGAGCCTGGGCGCGTTGGTACTGCGCGGGTGACTGCTGACCACGGCGGGGGTCGCGGGCGTTATGTTCCATCTGAGCAATGTTGTCCTGCATGTGCTCCGGCACGTCGGCCATGACTCTGCCGGGGTGAATCAATACTCGTACTTTCGGCATCTTGTAGATATATGGCAGAGAGTAGATTGACTTACCGCTGAGGAGAGGGGGATATGACCTCTGGCATGTAGAAGTCATCCTGGCCCCCTGGATACCATGTCGCACCCACGCGTGGCTGACCACGGCCCTGTGGCGGTCTGTTCATTGTGGAAATGAGGGGGGAGGCCTATGATATGGAGAGCAACTAGCAAAGACCGAGTGTAAGACCGTATCTTAGCAATAGACCATACACATTGAACACATATGAGGGGAAAGGAGAGAGAGAGAGGGGGGCATCTAAATGAAAAAAGTGCGCCAAGAGAGGGTAACTGAACCAGCCCACTTTGCGACAGCCATACACAAACATCTCTTTCTTTACTTCTTCCCCACCCCCGCCAGGTCAAACATCCGCGTTTAATAATAGCGAGATCTATTAGCCCCCCCTCAGCCTCATATTTGACAGGTCTAAGACAATGGCGATGGCAACGGGCACCTCTCGACTTACATCCATTGGCTTCTCTGTCGTGCAGTAGCCCCAGGACCCGCAAGTTATTGTCTCCTTTTTGACTGGAGCCTTATAAACTCCACCGCGCTGTTCCATTTTTATCCCTTCAAACCCTCCCCTGCTCGGGGACTATACCGAAACTTAGTACTTTCACGTCATGTCCTCCACTATGCGCGATTTCCACCATCCTTATACGCCATACGAGATCCAACAGCAATTTATGCAGGCTCTGTATGGCTGTTTGGAAGAGAGCAAGATCGCCATCTTTGAATCCCCTACTGGTAAGCGCGGCCACTAGCTGTTTGTTTCCAATCTAACGTGCCGTGCAGGTACTGTAAGTGCATCAGCCACGGACAGGGATGTCAACCATGTGACATCAATGCTAAGCCTCTCCCAATTAGGGAAAATCCCTAAGCTTAATCTGTGGCTCTTTGACATGGCTACGGCACCACAAGCGCGAGGCGTTTCAAGAGACGGTCGACGATGCAACATGTATGTCTATTCTGACCAGTGAGATAAGCTTACAAGCTGACATGTTTGAGGCGATGATGGTGAGCCCGAGTGGATGATCGAATTTGCCAAGCGGGAATCCCGCCGGGCCATTACCGAGAAGCGACAGGAATTTGAGGCTCGACTTGCCAAGATTCGCCGGGAGGAAGAACGCCTAAAGCAGGCCCAGGACAGCGCCGAGCGGCCTAGAAAAAAGCAGGTATGAATACCTCTGCTGTGGGAAAGGCCATATACTAACCTGGTTAGCGACTTGACGAACCAGCATCTGAGACTGCCGACGAAGAACAATTTGTTCTCGATGACTATGACAGCGACACAGAGCAGAAAAAGCCTGATTCTGGCAACGATGGTCTGTCTGCGAGCACGTTGGCTTTATTAGAACGGTTCAAAGGGCAGTTCTCTTCCCAGAAGAAAGAAGAAGGCGACGATGCGGATGACGAGGTGAAAATCTTTTATTGCTCAAGAACGCACTCTCAACTGAGTCAATTTGCCGGCGAATTGCGGCGAGTCACATTCCCGTCCAGTATACCTAGCGACCTTGATCCAGAGAGCAAAGATGACCTCTCCACACTCGAAGAGCGTGTGAAACATCTTTCGCTAGGTTCTAGGAAGAATCTTTGCATCAACCCCAAAGTTCGGGCTTTGGAGAACAATACCGCAATCAACGAAAAGTGTTTAGATCTACAGCAGTCTGGTGTTGCGGCTGATAAGAAGTGCACATTCCTTCCATCTAAAGACGATGAGGCTCTAGCTCTTCAATTTCGGGACCATACCCTGGCGACAATCAAGGATATTGAAGACATCGGCTTGGTCGGTAAAAAGCTTGGAATATGTCCCTACTATGCATCCCGTCCGGTTATCAAACATAGCGAGGTCAGCTACAGCATGCAATTACGACATTTGCAAAGCTAACAGATCCCAGATTATAACACTCCCATATCCACTGCTGCTGCAAAGATCTGCCCGTGAAGCTCTCAATCTGTCCGTCAAGGGTCACGTTGTCATAATCGATGAAGCCCACAACCTGATGGATGCAATCGCCGGTATCCATTCGGTATCAGTCACACTGAATCAACTGCAAACTGCCATCACGCAGCTGACGACATATGCTCGCAAGTTCAAGAATCGGCTAATAGGTAAGAATCGAAATTATGTTGCCCAAGTCATTCGGCTGGTGAGCTCCAT